CCGAAACACAGCCCATTGCATCGTTTGTGACGAGGTGTTCACTTGAGATGCGCCGGAGCAAACCCGAATACTTTCACGTGTATTCACTGCGATTCGGAATAATTGTCATCGCCATTTTTTACTTTAGTTTATTAACTATGATATCGACCCCTTTGCGCAAAACTATCGTATGCTACTTTTTTACGAAATTCACTTTTTGATGCAGCTTTGTTTTACAACCCATAACGCATCACATGTTCAAATATTACGGCTTGAATCCCAATAGCTACCTCAAAAATTGACTGTAAATTTTATCGTATCGAAATTATCATATGGGCTAAGAATTTAGAATGTAGAGACCTTTCTATTCGAAAAACTTCTTTTTAAGAAAAGCGAAGAAGAGTTGGAGTTTTTGGAATTGAAAGAAGATAAGGCACTGGAAAAGCAAAATAAAGCTTTGCCATTGCTTGAATTCGGGCAACAAGTATAAATTTAAAATATGCGCTGTTGAAAACAGCTGCGTGTCGTATATTTTAAATTATTGGTACAACGTATAACTGTGAGTCTTTGTACTCTACAATTAAATTCGTAAAGTCAAAATACCGTTCACAATTTACTAACGAACATTTAACAGAACTGTAACGAACGGCTTTAACTGACGTAAAACCAGGTTTTGAAAGGGATCTTTTGAATTTATTTCAATATCTATCTTACGAACATTAGAATAATAATAAAATTAATGTTTTTCATTTCTAATAATAAATTTATTTAAAAATACAATTTTTGTTTTTGTTTTTTTTTTTGTGGCTCTTTGTAGCATTTAGAATTTACATTTGGCTCTTTTCGGCCTCGGCCTTGCCCACCCCTGGCCTGCTCAGTCCAAAGTATCACTTGTTGGCAAGAATCATTCTCCGTGGGGTTTCAAGGCTGACATTATTATTGGCCTTAATCCTGGTTCCTAAATAAACAAAATCGTCCACTTTTTAGAAATTCTAATCGTCAACAATCAGCGTTTGAACTTTAGTGTTTCACATAATACGCTCGATAACACCTTGTACCTGACGCGGTAATTGGCGAGTATGGCAGGGGCGCCTTTCTTCTGAACTGGGCAGAGCACACTTAAATTCCAGTCGTCGGGCATGCTTTCATCTGACCATATTCTACATAAGAGTTGATACAAGCACCTTATCAACTCCTTCCCTCTATACTTGAATAGCTCAGCTGGCTGACCGGAATCTCCAGCAGTTTTGTTGTTTGTTAGTATCGTAATTACTATTCGTGTCTCGTCATAGGCAGGTGGTTGAAATATGACTACGTCATTATCGAAAACATGGATTACCCCATAAGTTCTTTACCTACATAATTTCCTAGTGGAAAGATCAAAACTAAATACATACATATGTAGGCGCATACTAGGGATGTTAATCCCACGATCCCGGCTTTTTTTAAGTGCCGAAAATCCCGGGGTTATTTGCCAAGAATCCCGATACCTTCGGGATTTCTAATTTGCAATGGTGGCAATAATCGAAACGCCTTATGTTGACCAGTTTTTGCTATATTTCTTTTGTCTATTTAATAGACGTTGTAAGCGCCAATTTACTCAAAACTAGTTTTTTCGCAGATTACCGTTAAAAATACTCTCGCGTATAATAAGGTGACGAAATTTCTCAATTTCTATCACTTTTCGGACATTAACCTACGCTCCAAAGTAAGTAGTGAGTGGAAAAACGTTTTAAGTCCAGGTGACCATGGCCAATTTAGAATTAACAAGCGTAATGCAAAAGTGCATAATGGCAAAAAAGTAAAGTACATTTCGAAAATTGGAATGATATGAAAAATAAGAGGCTACTAAATAGGGGGAAGAATATTCAGGGAGACATGGGAAAGGGGTATTAAAAAAAAATTAACATTAGTGAAGGAGCGGTGTTAATATCAATTTTGATTTTGTATTCCCCAAATTTTCAACTGCGCTTGTTCTCTTTACTGCTCAAGCTTCATATTGGAGACTATTCAAAAGCATTTCTCCAATTTTTATAAAATGACCTATGATGAACAATCAAAGAAACCTTATTGTTATATTTATTACATTCATTTATCGAAAAAGATTGTAACCGCCACCAGCAAAGAGGCTAGGCTTACTGGAAAAACGTGTTATCATCCATTGAGATTTGTATATAAAACGTTTTTCCATCATTAAAAGTTTGTAAATCTTTTTTTGACTTGAAAGATATACTTATATGGAAATACATTTTAATTCACGGTAAAGCTTCTTGGAGACTGCTGCACCGAAAAATGGAAAACTATATCAAATGACTTTATGTGCGTCATCAAAAACCTTTTTTTCCATTTCTGAAAACTTGGAATTATGTCGCTTACAACGTTATACGCGACGACCATTCAAATGTCTTGCTAATTATACATACACATAACACCGTGCGACAGGCAATTTTACACACAAAAAATCAATATAGTCGCGAGCACACCAATTACCTTTCGAATTACGTAATTCGCCACACGGTTGCCACTTACTTCTTACTTCTTACACTTGTTTAAAGGTAGAAAAGGCAAAAAAAAGGCAACATCAAATGTGTATATATGGAATCAGGGAAAGCAAAATCGTGGACATTCTTAATCGAATATACTCTATCTCTTTAGCAGAAAAAAGGCAATTTCCATAAAATCCGTTCCCTGGTAATAATGTTTTTAGACTGCTTTTTTCTCTAGGAGCTCAGAAACACTGTGGACCATAAGTTTGTTTTGGACTCCAGTTTTTCGAGAGCGTCAACTGGCTCTTATGTGCAACTTTCCTAGCCGAGTGCCAAAACCAGTTTGCTCGACTTTTGGTTACTAGACCAGTGCTAAATACGTGATAATCGGTTCAGGATCTTGTCCATATGGTCTTGCATTTCCATATTCGGTGCATTTGCATAAAATTTGCAAATGCAATTTCAACTGCAAATCCAAGACCGTTTCCACAATATCCCGAACAGCCCTACTGTAATTACTGAGTTGTCTCCCATGTTTAACCATTACTTTCTTTGTTGTTAACATATATGCGATGTTACTTCTAGTCTTTTGTTCAGGGTATTCTCTAAATACTTCGGCTCTCTCGATAGCTCAATTTCCGAAATTCCCGATGATGGTTATGCTTAACTGACTTTTCTTCTTTCATTTGGTGAAGGGGCGATGGTTTAGTGAGTTTATTAACATAACCTTTTCAGACCACTATTTCTCAGTCAGTTTCAAGTGTTCATCGCAGCCCACCATGTAAATGAGTATTAGGAATATCCTTTTTTGGCATGACCTTGGATTTCGCTTTATATGATGTGTTTGATACACAGCTGAAATGTCAAGGAACGCGCAAAGGTCTGTCTGCTTAACAGCAATGTCTTTTAAATTATATGAGTTCGACATTGTATTGCAGTATAGTAGATTTCCTTGATTGATATGTATGCATGTTGGCCTTCAGTAAAAATGATCTCATTTTATGAGATTAAAATTGTACCAAACCTGAACGATATGTACCTGTGTACCAAAAATGGTACATTTCGGCCAAAATGGCAACCGTGATTCGCCATACTAAATTTTGAGAGCATTTCCCGGAAATTTCGCCACTTATTCTTATTACTGTAAACGATTAATTCTTGTATATATATATTAGGCTGAACCTAGCGAATTTATGGCCTTAAAATGACCTATTTACTGAGAAGGAAATTCTCCCATTTGGAACATTTTTTATTTAAATTTTAAAAGGTTTGAATTTTTTTATGTAAATAACATGTAAATAAATGTTCATTAAAAATGTTATAACTTTTGAACCGTTAAATGAAGTTATAAAAAAGGGATAAACGTTTTTTCCAGGCATATTCTTGTAGGGCATTAAATTTTCTAAAAAACTACCCTGAAGTTGGCTGTCTTAAAGCTTAAACAGACGGCAGCGTTAATCCGGATTAACTCGGACTTAATCCGGATCAACTGCAGTTAATTCCCGAGTTGATCCGGATCAACGCTGCCGTCTGTTTATGCTTTTAGAGACGATTAAGAGTATTAAATATGTTAATGATATTGCAGAACGAGATATAGCGTTGATACAAAATTATAATCGAACTTTGACGAAAGACGAAGCAATTTCTTTTGGAAGTAATACAATTACAATTAAATAATTTAAAAAGAAAGAGTCAAAACTTGTTAATATGTGGCATTCTTATGATTATGCAGCGCAGTGTATTATTAACTTGTTTGACTTGTATTTAGAGAAACTTTGAATTGTTAATTTATTTGTTATTTATATGTTAAAATAAATATCAAATTTTTTGTCGAGAATTTGTCCTCGTGGAATGTTAAAAAATTCTGGTCACCTAACCATATGTGTATCAATAGTATCCATGGGCGTAGCCAGGGGGGTGTTCGAGGGGTGTGTACGCATTAAGATGAAATATAAATTACCCTTATAATATCATTGTACACAGGAGCCAATGAATTATTTAATATTTATACATTTTTGAATAACAATAATGAGATAATTTTTACATTCACTGTTTAAATAGTAAAAGAATTATTTACATTTCATTTTAAAATAACTTATCAGGCGTCGCGAAGGAAACCGGGTATTTGCTGGTTTTTAATTTAATTTTACAAATGTTTTAACATCTTGAAATAGGTGATTTTTAGAGATTGAATATATGTATGAGCGGTAATTTAATTTAGGCAACAGAATTATGAAAAGTCAAAAATAAGATATCATTTATACACTTGACCTCACAAGTATTTATTATATTGTCATCGAACATACATATATAGCATACTTTATTTCTGTATGTATCGTCATTTCTCAACAAAAGAAATGGTATCATTAAATACTTATTTGAATAGAAACAAGTAGCTAAACATAAATTATATATGGATATGTGTGTGTATATTATAGTCTTAGCAAAAATCCATTAGTCATTTACTAATAAAAAGATGTATATTGATTTTGGATGAAGATGTTTCTTGTTGTTTTTGTTTCAGGCAAGCCGCCACATTGGAAACAGCGCCATCCAAATTAATGAAAACCAAATTGAAGTTCTTACTCATACACAAATATTTCTTATGTTTTGTGTGGTACAGTATTTTGTGATAAGTGAATAACTAACTAGTGCGATCATTTGACTTCCATTGAGTATATAAAATGCAAGAAGTGTGTAGCACATTGGATCCCCAAAAGGGCGCACAAATCAAATCAGAATCGCCGCTAAATGCACTGCAGGTGTCAACAGGGCAAACGATAGTGCCGGTGGTGCCTGTAGCACCAGTGGTGTCAGTATCAGCGCCAGCGCAAATGCCTCATGTGCCACAGCCGCCACCTCCACCACCCACGGCTATGCTTGTCAGCAAAATGGGACCGACAAACTGTGATAAACGTGCGGCTGTCGCTGATACCGGATACTGGATGGCCGCCTCTGAGGGAGGTTTCATCAACTCTCAACCGTCCATGGCTGAATTTCTCAATCATCTGAGCCCAGAAAGTCCAAAGATGGGAACACCTGTGGGTGGTGGCGGATATCCGGTTGGTGTTGGAATTGGAGTGCAACAGACTACGGATGGTATGGATTCGGTGCCAGAATACCCCTGGATGAAAGAAAAGAAGACGTCGCGGAAAAGTCAAAATAATAACAATCAAGGTAAGTGTTTGGTAACACGCAAAGAATAGCATAAAGATTAATTACTGTAATAAAATTGCTTCGGTTGAGCAAAGCCCGTTGGTATTAAGGGTTTTTAATGTAGTTGTATGTATGCGTTTGTACGAGTGCATGCTCGCAAGAGCAAACCTAAACAACTGATGCTTCGCCCATCTTATGAGCCATCAATCAAGAAATCAGTAGATACAATTCATCCTATTATAAATTATAACAACAACGACAACAATTGTGTGAGATAGTTGTAGCCACTGAATTGTGTGCAAGCCGGCGCCCATTTCGAATGGCAGTTGCCAGAAAATTGCGCTATATTCGATTTGTTCACAAAATGCAACAACAATTCATTGCTGTTTGGTTCATATGATAAACAGACGATACCTTTGATGAACCGTCGAGCTACATGTCCAGTCACAATTCAAAGCATTTAAAAAATTCCCAACCGACTGACCGAACCCATTGCCTACATTAGCGACTGCCATTTGGCTGGATGAGATGGCACCGCTGCTTTCGGCAAAGATCTGTTATTTGCGATCATTTGTAACAATTTTAGTGGCTACACATGAAGGTTGTGGCTAAGGCTGTGAAAGGCCAATTGCGCTGCAGCGGCCACAAGTGTCGAAAGAACTTGGGGTCTTGCGATAATGTATGTATCTATGTGTGTTTGTAGTTAAGTTACGTACTGGGTATTTGTATATAGTGTGTAACAATGCACATACACGGCGAAGGTGTTTACAAACATTCCTACATATATGTAGATGTACATATGAATATAAATGTTCATATAAGTTGGGTTTTCTTGGGTTACCCAGCTCAGTATCACGATCATTTCTGACGCAAACGGTCTGGATCAATCTTATTGGGGTTGGCAGCACTAATTTTATACTACATACTAGCACGAGGAAGACGAAATTATAAAAATTTACTCACTAAATAGGGAAAAGTATATTTAAACGAAATAATATTCACTTAAACAAATATTTAACGTAAAGGCAATTTATTTGAAGCAAGTTAAAATAAGCAATGGCAGAATACCAAACCATACTGCCAAATTATCAGTGACACAAACCAAACAGATCGGATCATAAATTGGACCAGATCTCTATGAGGATCATATCGTTGTTGTTGCAATTGCATGGAAATTTTTTATCCGGATCCCGATCATTGCCCAAGAAAATAAAGCCAAAGATATGTATGTACATACTAGGGCTGGGAGTTTTACTCGGATATTTTGCCACTGCAGATATTCGTATATCTGAAAAAAATTTGAATATGCGGATATCTGATGCCCGAAATTCGAATATAAAAATCCCTTTTAATATTATAAATGCGAAAGTGAGTTTGTTTGTTTGTTACGCTTTAACGATCCAATGGATCATCATGAAACTTTGCACACTGGTGTCATTTAGCCCAACTTATCCCTCTGCTGCAGGAATTATGAAGGAGACGATTAAAAAAAAATTAGCTGTGAATTACACCTTATTTACATATCAATAAACCTATGTATATATATCGACTCTAAAAGCCGTTTTGTCCAGTAGTTTTTTAAATTTATCTGCCCTTTAAATATATTTTTTCAGAACAAAATTTGTGTTAAAATGTCACTTGAGAAAAGGCCTTAAGTCGTTTATTATTATATATTATTATTTCGTAAAGAAATGTATGGTAAATTTTATGAAAACAGCAGAAAACAGTTGGATAGCGGTAAACTAATTAAATGTTGACAGAGAAAAGCGTGTGTGAATTATGTGAAATCCGCGCACACAAATATATGTACATTTTCCGACTACGATTAGAAAAGTGAGGATATATTTAAATTTCATCTAACCAAAGGCAAACCAATTAAGTTCCGTTATTCCTAGTCAACATCTTAATGCATTTAATTAGTTTGATACGTTTTTATAACATTCGTTAAGTGGGAAAAATGCCAAAGTAGTGACACCACACTTAGCTTCGTATGCAGTAGAGGGTTGAGGGATACGATAGCTTTTATCTCGATTAGGCAAGGGGACGTGGTACCTCCCACACAAACCGAATTCTTTCTACTGCATATCTCTGGAAGTATTTGTGGAAGAGTACTGGTGAGAACATTAGTATATCGATTTCTGTGTAGAAGATCGACCTATTTCGGCAGCCAGTTTGAAAACGCCCTATCTCAGAAAATTTTTCAACAACGCCCTATTTCAGAATTTGATTGAAAAACACTTAAACGTTAAACTCAACTTGAATAAAGGCAATTAGGTAAAAGTATCAGACGAGAGAGGTTCAAAAAGTTTAAGCTTGAAAATATTTTGAAGAGGCTCGAAAATATATTTTGTTGAGTATGTTGAGTTCTCGTGCGCTGGGTTTGGGTCCCGCCACGTTAAAACCTCGCCCAATGAAAAAGTTCAGAAACCCTTAATGGGGAAGGTGCCTCTGCCTCGGGAATACAAAGGCTGACATCACCGCCATCCAAGAAATGCGATGGACGGGGTAAGGGAAGGTAAGCGAGGAGCCTTGCGACGTCTACTACAGTTGTCACGTAAAGGAGCGCAAATTCGGTGTTGGATTTGTGGTTGGAGACACTCCGTCGCCGAGTACTGGCGTTCACCCCGGTAGACGAACATCTAGCCACAATCTTCATTCTTCAACATCTACTCATCTGCGCCAATGACCCGACGGAGGAGAGAGAGAGAGAGAGATATTATCTATCACGCATGTAATGCATTACTACTTTTCCGACTGGGTGCTCCAAAGTACACGTACCTTTTGTTGACTAAAAAACTTGAAGAAAACTCACTGTTGGTATGCACAAATACACAAATTCTATTTTACACATTATACATGCATATATGTGTGTATGTATAATAATAATAAATTAGGTATGAAGGCTATCCATCCATCCGCTGTTCCTTTTAACCGCCTCCTTATTCGCTCTTACCTCCAATAATATTCCAACAGTCACTGTTTATTCGCCGCTCGGTTACTTAATGTATTGCAGTTGCCAACAATTTTCAATTCTTCAATGGGGAAAAAAATTTTCGCCACTCGTATGTTCGACTGTTGACTGACTTTGCAGCCAAACTATCACTAGGTTCAGTTGAATGTGTGTATATATAAGAGTGATGGTACAACCGAAAGGCAGGAACTGTTGCAGAAGGTAGGATTGCAACCTGTTATTTGGATTCATTTGTCAAAATACTGCACTCCTATTATGCTTTGGGACGAGCAAAAGGAAACGAAAAACAGGCTGTTGGTTCTGCTCTCGGTGCTGATGTTCATGCTTGAGTTGGCTTCAAGGTTGTATCAATATATTTTTATGCTAACAAAAAAAGTTGTATTTTTAACATAGATACATATGTATGTACAAATGTACATGCATACATATGTTCGTACTTTTGTATATACTGCGAGTATTTACGCACCCTGTTCTCTTCCTTTGGACTCGATGTCTACATCTTCCAATAGTTTCAAATGATTTAGCAAATAAAAAGTATTTTAAGAATTTTGTATTTTCTTTTTCCTCCGGTCCCATATCGAAATTTCGTTGTCGGTTACAAAAAAATAATGGCAGAAAAATTTCAACCCTCTATGTATCTTAATTTTTCAGGTAGTTTGTTCCGTAACTTTTTTTTTTATAAACAATTAAATGTAACAAAAAAAGAAAAATCTTAACTTAGTTTTGTAGGTAATTAATGATTTTGATTTTGATTTACTTTTAAAAAGAATTAAAAAACTAAAAAAAAAATATATGTATAAGGCCTTGTTCGTTTTACACTTATATTCAATCTACGCTTAAAGTGTAAAAAACCAGCATCGACAATTTCCATTTAAAAACAAGAAATTTTGATTTTATCGACACCCTGCAGAACAAATTATCAATTGATAAAGAATAACCCATTTGTAGTTAGCTTTTCTGCGGTTTTTCGATAAAATATGTATCTTCTAGTTAAGTACAAAAATCTAACTTCAAACTAGTTGAAAAGTAATGCAGGAGTCATGCAGACGTAATCGGGAGTTTGTTTTGTTTAAACAAGTTTCTATTTAAATATCGTTTTAAAAATTTTCTGTGAATACACTTTTTTTCTGCACTTCAAAAATTCTATTTGAGCACTTGTGTCTTTTCATTGCTACAGGATAGTACGCCACCTTTACCTTTGTTGAAGAGATTCTAGAGAGAGAGAGTTACCTGAGGAAAGCTGGTTTAATGCCAGCAGGTGGGCAAAACTCATGTTGCCTTCAATCTCAGAAGGTATATCTAGTTTTTTCCTCTCACTGAGAAGACGGGACTGCTGACTGGTCACTTCACGTGGCACAAACACCTGACTGTGATAGGCGTAAATGACAAGTCCATTTGTCCATCCTGCCTTGAAGAGGATGAGACGGTGGAACACTTTTTGTGCTTCTTGCTTGCTTGGTCGTTTGTTATCGATTTTTCTAGACTCGTTCTTTTCTCTATTGTCAGTTTCTGAATTGAAAGATTAGCATAAAAAGCTTAGCCGTTTTTTTGTTTTAAGTTTTGTGTTTTAAAAATGTGACTGACAAATATTTTTCGCCTCACTTTAAAACTCGGTGCGATAAAAATAAAAATGATGCCATCAACACAAATAAACTATTTGACAAATACATCACATGCAAATTCACGAGTGAGCCGAACATGTTTAGGAGTTTATTTATTGCTCTTAAAAAATATAACTCCTCAGATCGAGATAGTTCTTTCATGGGCTTACGAGATCTGTTTTTTAAACATGCAAGTGTGTAATGAAATTATTTTATTAAATAGAACACAGGAAAATATTTTATTTTTATGTTTGCCACTCCCAATTTTGTGTTGGAACTCAACCACGATGCAAAATTACATCGTTATATTTAATCTTCACATTTTTTGATGAACTTTGGGAATATGTTAGAAATGAGCATCAGGGGGTCCACCAAAACCAGTAAAGTTTTGAAAGGGGAGAAAAATAAGTTGGGGAACCTTTGTATACTATGTAATATACCTCTGAAAT